TGGGGGTGAGGAGAGCCGGGGCGGGAGCGCTGCCTGCTTTCTGCCTTCCCGCTGTGCCCGGGTGCGTGGGGCCGGGGAGCTGCGGCCGGGCTTGGGCACTGGACAGTGTATTAAAACTAGAACGATAAAATCGTTTTGGTTGAAAAGACCTTTAAGATCATCAAGTCCAACCGGTAACCCAGCACTGCCAAGGCCACCGCTAAACCAAGCCCCCCAGCACCACATCTGCCTTTCTTCTAAATCCTTCCAGGAATGGTGACTCCACCACTTCCCTGAGCAGCCTGTGCCAGTGTGTCCTGGTTTGAGTCCAGTGGTGACACAGTGCCTGGCACTAACATCCAATCTAAACCTGCCCTGGACAACTTTAGTCCGTTTCCTCTTGTTCTGGCAGCTGTCACTAGAGAGAAGAGGCCAAGACCCACCTCACCACAACCTCCTTTCAGGTAGTTGTGGAGAGCAGTAAGGTCTCCTTCCCCCCAGCCTCCTTTTCCCCAGGTTAAGCAACCCCACTCCTTGTAAGACTTGTGCTCCAGACCCTTCACCAGCTTCAGTTGCCCTTTTGGAGGGAATCTGCAGCAGTAAATATATTCCTGTAAATTCTCATGGTTTTCTCCTTTTTAGGAAAAATGATTTCTGAAGGCACTTCCTTCATGAAGGGTGTGGTGCTCGGAGGAGTATTCTGCATGTTGGTGACACTCCTTGGACACATCAGGGTGGGCCACGGGACTAAATCACATCACCACGAGCACCATCACATCCAGGCTCCCAAAAAAGAAGAGGTCTTAAACCTTTCAGAAGCTGAACGCATGGAGCTTAGTAAGAGTATCCGTGTTTATTGTATCATCCTTGTGAAGCCAAAAGATCTGGGACACTGGGCTGCAGTAAAAGAGACATGGAGCAAGCACTGTGACAAGGCGGAATTCTACAGCTCTGAAAAAGTCAAAGTGTTTGATTCTGTAGCCCTCAACACAAATGATATGTGGGTGATGATGAGAAAAGCTTACAAGATAACCTATGAACGCTATAAAGATGAATTCAACTGGTTCTTCCTTGCATATCCAACAACATTTGCTATTATTGAAAATCTCAAGTATTTCTTACTGAAAAAAGACCCCTCGCAGCCTTTTTATATAGGCCACACTGTCAAATCTGGTGACCTTGAGTATGTAGATGGTGAGGGAGGAATCGTCCTAAGCATTGAATCGCTAAGACGACTCTCCCGTGTTTTTGGAGACACTGACAAGTGCCCAGAGCAGGGAGGTATGATTTGGAAACTTGCTGAGGACAAACAGCTAGCAATCTGCCTGAAGTACACCGGAGTGTTTGCTGAAAACGCAGAAGATTCAGAAGGAAAAGATGTCTTCAACACTAAATCAGTCAGTGCCCTCATTAAGGAAGCCATGTCCAGTCACCCTGACCAGGTGGTGGATGGCTGCTGCTCCGACATGGCCATCACCTTCAGCAGACTGGCCCCCAACCATATGCACGTGATGATGTTTGGTGTTTACAGGCTGAGACCCTATGGCCACACATACAACGATGCCCTTGTCTTCCTTCCACCTGAAGGCTCAGACAACGATTGACTGCCCTTCAGAGAGGTTGGATCTTTGTATCTGGGGTTTCTGGTGTACAGCTATGAATTTTTTTTGCACATTGAGGTTTGGTAAAGCTCTCATTTTAAAAGTGGAAGGAGAACTCTTTTCTATATCTTTTATACAGAAATGCTTCTGGCTTTTGTCAGTGCTGGAATGAAATGTTGAAGTTGCTAAGGTTTATGATAAAAGGAAACTAAGTTTATATGGGGGGTTTTTACATGTAAATATTTATTAATGAAAATTCCAACTAACTTTAGTCTACTGTTACAAATATATTTTTGCAAGATTTTGGTTTTTTTTGTTCTTCCAGGCATTTCTACAATGTCTTTCTATCTTTGTAAGAGGTACCAATAAAACTGAGTAGTCTCAAAGACCAACTTTGATCTATTTCCTTTGCACTCAATTACAGAAGAGCTTGAGCTCTGCTCTTCGTTCAGCACCTGTCGCTTCCTGTACAGCCACCTAGCACAGTAAAGAGTTAGCAGAAAGCAAGCTAAAACAGAGAGATCTGTTAGGAAGTTACAGCACAGTAATGTTGACTGTTGGGACTGCCCTTTTCATGTAGACAAAAGAAAGAGATAACTGTATTTGAGTAAGAATTAATACGGTCAGGTAGCCTGTCAGCACAAGAGTAATTGCCCATTTAAAATTTCACTTCATATTTGAATATCAGAACAAAGGTTCTGTATTACTTTCATTCCTGTAAGTGGTGCTATTTACAAGGACGTTGGTTATCTGTTGGTACACATCTAATGCAGATGACTTGCAGGGATTTTTACCACCAAGAGAGCAAGATGTGTTTGCACACCCAACCTTTCTTGGAATATTATGCAAATCTGGTTTGGGGGGTGGACTGTGCCGTGGTTTTTGGTATTGTTGCTTTTTGGCTTGGGGAGGGTTTACAGTCAGCTTTATACATGTTACCAACTTTATACAAGTTACACTCCCTTGCAGGGGGAATAACAAACAGTACTTTGGGATTTACTCCCATTTAGAATTCACTAATGTGACTTTCAAAACTTGAGGAAGGTACCACATCTAGCACTACCACAGGCTTGGGTGGTACTAGTGTCCATAAAAGACCTTGGAACACAGTGTGTTACCTCACCTTTCTTTGTAGTATCTTATCCTGCTGCTTCAGAGCTGATGACAGTATCCACATATTTCGTTTTAAGCATCGGGTCCTTCATTTTTTACAAAAATGGGAGGACAAATGCTCAGACCCTCAAACAAGCTCCCACAGCTCAGCTGTTTCAGGAACTGCACCTTGTCTCACTACCTTGTCTAAGCTTTTGCACTTTCTCCCCTCCATGTCAGTCTGAGCTCTGACATAGCAAGACAAACATGTCCATGATTGCTGCCAAAACCTAGATAAAACTTAAGTTAGTATTTTTGACATATTGCTCAATTCATATACAAATTAAGCATTATTTAACTGGTATCTTCTCACAGCATCATTTTTAAAGGTTAGATCTACTCTGACAAAGCCAGACAAAAAAAAGTAACATGTTCATTTCAGTGGTGTCTCTGATGTCAAAGACAGTTCTGACCCCACTGCAGCAACAGCAGTCATGGGACAAGTCAAGAAAATAGACTGGAAATTAACAATTCAAACCAGAACAAATATCACTGATCACCCATTTGAGAGGTACTGTAACATGACAGGAGGAAACAAGATGGAAGGGGAAAAAGCAAGCCACAGAACTCCAGACTAGCTCATTTTATGCAAAGAAAAGAACCACTGAAGCACAAACAAGATTCCCCCTGGCACAAACAATACATTAGTACATATATAGCAGTCTTTAATATGCATAAAAATGCCCATTTGCATTCTAAAGGGAAGGTCTGAGATTTGACCAAACTTTTTTCTGCGACACTGCTGTAATCACCTTAACTTTTGTCTTCCTACATTAATAGCTGCAGATTTATCCTTTCATTTCTAAAAGTACATTTTTGTAAATAATTTAATAGGAGAAACTTAAAATTAGCACGTATTAGGTAACACACTCCACCTCCCATGTCTTAATTTGACTTTAGAATCAGATGGAGAAGACCTCTGCCAAATCTTCTGTAAAGGCCCCAGAGCGGGGAAATCAAACATGCAGAACAGCACCAAGACAAGGTATTTGCATACAAAATTACATTCTGCCACTATAAAATGTGTTAGAACTTAGACTTGAAATACTAATAAATGCTTCCAGAGACAAAAGTTATGAGTAGTAGACCTTAAAGTTTCCTTAGTTTATTACAGGATTCCATGGCACAAGCTTTCCCATAGGCAAAGCTTTGGGTATGCAGTGGTTGAACAGAGTTGGATTGTCCAGACAAATACACAGTGCTCTTCAACCCATTCTGTAGGTGTACAGACATGTGGCAGTGTGCACAAGCTGAGAGCTCTTCTGCAGTCCCACCTCAGGAAGTCACTTCTGGCTACACTGATAACCATGTTCTGCTATCGTGCCTTTGCTAAACAGTGACTTTGTTTCTGCTTCTAAAAATAAGGCAGCAAAGAGGGAGTAGAGGATCAGGCACTGAGCTGGCAAAGACTGTTTGGAGTCTGCCAACCATGACTATAAACTCCACTATAAGGAGAGTGATATCAAACAGTGTTGGCAGGTAGAAATCTGAACATAGATAAATTCTTCAGGTATGAACTAGCATAAATTAATTTCTAGTCCACACACTAGTTTAAGTTTGTAAATACTATACAGATATATGCATATTAAAAAGAGAAAATCCTTAAGTAAAACACTGAAGTTAATGCTGTTAATAAATTAAGTTAAAAAAATAAATGTCAAAAAACTGATTTCTCCACATTCCAAAACAAGTAGACTAAGATGTTACTCAGAAGAAAAAAAATCTGAAATGTTCCAGAGGTTTTACAAACCGTATTAATTATATTTCACATACACTTCGTATTACTCTTTTAGAAGAGCATAAAAATGTAAACATTTCTGGCATTTTCCTCCTTTTTGTTTCAAATAGTGTACTCCCAGTCCATACAGGATCTTTCCACCAGATGTCTTCAGTCACTGGAGACTTGGATTTAAGACAAAATAAAAGAACTGTAATAAAAAGAAATTTAGAAAACTATTGTAGCCTAACAGTACTTTCGCATTCACTTGATTTATTTAGCATAGCCACAGAACAAAATAATTTGTACATTCAGTCACATTAAAAACAAGGAATTACAAAGCAGTCCACATTTAATCTAAGTGCATTCCTTTGGAGTAACATGGTTCCTTGTGTTTCACTTGTATGTCTTCATATGCCAAAGGCCATCATTTAAATAGTGGATATTTTCGATACCAATCCCTTTGTTGACCTTCTCACTGCAGAAGGAGGAAAAAGGTACAGAAATATTAGCTAAGTTAAATATTAGAGCAGTACACAACATAAAATATTGAAAGTAGAAGGTGCAATACTTCTCAGCAGTTCCAGAAGCTATCACACACAAAGTCATGAACAACAGCAGGTGGACAAGAGACAGTATTTGTTATTACAGGCTGCCACATTGCTGAATGTGAGATGAGGATATTTGCCTTTGTGTTTTGTCAACAACTGTCTACAGTATTTTAAATTACTTTGTGGGAGGCAGCTCTTCAGACAGCACTTCTGCTACTTTTCCTAATGTTAGTGTTTTTCTACCAAAGTAGCACAGCAGCTGTGACTCTCCCTCTCCTAGAACAGGAGCTGGTGGAACATGGCTGGAATGTGGAATTTGACAATTCTCCTTCCAAATGCACCACTGACACAATCAGGTCAAGGCATCTACCCACTCAATAAAGAGCTATAAATGCAAAATATATGTGCCAAGGACTTGCAGAATGTTTCAGACAGACTATCCTTCTTTATCTTTTGAGTCATGTCATCTTTTAAAAATGGTTGTTTTGTCCATCTGCATTGGATTTGCGTTCATCTTTTTTCCAGTATATTATTCCACAGAATCTAGTTTTGCCATAATAAACAAGCAAATCTCCCCTGGATAATATAATTTACTGAATTTATACTCAGTGTTCCATTACTTATACAACTTGCCCAAAAGTAATCAGGAAGGAAAATACTGCTATGTTAGTTGCATTAATACATTGTGTACCACAATCACACCAAGTGACTGATACCACACTGTTTCATAACTTTGTTTTAGCAATATATCACAAAAACTCATGCTAACAAGCTGCACAGATCAGTATAATTTAATTTTCCTCTCTGGTTCTCACAGGAACAGGACATACAGCTGCAAGACTGCTGAAGTTAGGATTAGGAATAGCTAATCTTGGTTTGCAGTGATCACAACAGATCACAACAGACAGGACTGGGACAAAAGTAGCTATCCTTTCCAGCTACTCTTGGGGTCTTTTGAAAGCACTGAGGAATCCTGAGAAATTTAATTCCTCAACAGCTACAGCATGTCCAAATCCAGGTTGCGGCAGCCCCGCTCTGTCCTCTTTAACACATTCCTACCTCTCACCTCAGGACCAGAGTGACCCAGCACAGAAAATGATCCTGCTGAGAATTATCCCCATGAAAAGCTCCCTCGCCCACACAAGTGCTAGATCGGGCTGGAAGCAACACAGCCCAAACCTGTTGGGTGCATCTTACATCCTGCTGCAAGACATAGGACTTAAAATGACAAAGTGGTTTAACCACTTTTAATTAGCACTACCTGAATGCTGAGAACAACTAACATTCATTTTTCTCTTTTCCTTCTCAACTAGTTCCCAATTGATGTTTCTTCTCTACATTTCAAAAGAAGCTCAGCCAAGCTGGTAAGCACATCAAGCAGGAACCCTGCATGTGGGTACAAAGAAAAACTACCTCCCCTTTTCCACAAGGGCCCAGCTGGTCAACCAAGTACCAGCAAGACCTCAGTCTCTGCTGTCCCTGCAAACAAAAATCACTTCAACATTTTCAACCCCCTCAAATTCAAACTACATCTCTTGACCAGCCCAGGTAGTAAGTACTCTACACAAGTATTTATTTGCTCAGCAAGAACTTTGAGAAAGTACGAGCAGAGAGCAAAAAATACAAACATTGAGCACCAGCTCTAATGTTGTGCATCTTAAAATCCACATGCAAAGGACTATTTTGATTTCCTGTAGTAAACAAACAAATGGGGAAGATGTTCCCTGCCCCCTCTTATTTCCCTGAATATTAATTAACAAAACGGAATCTTAAGAAATGCTGTACTTGAATGACAAACTACAACAAGAATACAATAACCCTGACAGTGGGGCTTATATTCCAAGCTAACATAGGAATGATGTGGGATAGGTTATATTTCAATTTTTAAAACACTTACATGTCCTCAGCTGACATCTTCATTACTCCCACACATAATGCATGTTGTTTTCCCTCTGCCATTATCGCCTACAAATTACCACTAAGGAAAACAGTTTTTTTAAACTATTTCAGAAAAGTAAAAGCAATATAAGGAAATTACTTTCCAGAAAATTTAAAAACACCATGTTGAACTTTTACCCTTTCAGTAATTTTAGCTCTTAAAGATAAACAAAACAATGCACTGCATTTAACAATTGAATCACAGTGTGTAGAACAAAGCATGTATTTATGAACTTAGAACAGCAAGTGCAGAGAAAGATCTCCCGGCACTACATTTCTTCCTTTGTGCCTAACCCAGAGATGATAAGTCTCACCCGCTCTGCAACAAAACCGCACGTTTGTGAGGTCATTTGAAACTCCTAGGTACTGAATAATTGAGGCACATGCCTAAAAAAAAAATATACATGTGCTGAAATCAGACGTCCTTTTTAAAGCTCAGTAATACATGTTGCTAATTGCTGAGCTTTTCCTATAGCATCTAACAACAGCAGCACAGCTTAGTATTATTAATGCTGTATTTGCTCAGAGTTCCTTTCTCAGTAATACAAGGAGTAGGAGTGAATTAACATATTTTCCTCATTTTACATAGGCTAACTTCATCAGACACATAGAGAAGTCCTGACTATAGCAAAGCTGTAACATCTGAACAAAGCTGAAACATCTTTCCAAATTCCCTAGGAACAGGAGCAAGCTCTTCTGTAACTGCAGGAGATCCAGGATTGATCATGGAGACAGAGCAAATTACACTGTACTTTATCTATTTTTACAGTTCAGCATACATCAGAAAGGAGCTCCACTTATCAATTAGATATCACCCAAAAGCACAGCAGGAAGTTATTTGTTTTGGAACAGCACATCAGGTAAAAAAAAATTCAAAATAAATTTAAACTTTGCCAAATAACATCTGAACCCCTGCAGCTTTTTTCAGATTCCTATTTATTCCATGAAATACCATTAAAACCAAAACTCAGATTGTGATCAACTGAGAACACAACAGAAGTTTAACTCATCTCACAGCAAGCAGTAAATCACAGTTAAAGAAGGATACAACAACAGTATCAACAGCAGCAGGGTAAAGTTTTGCTCCAGGAGATGTCAGGCCAGGGCACATTATATTAGCTCCACTTAGTACAAATTTAATGGCGCCTTTATCAACCTGCTGATGTGGTAGAATAAATGGGTCTAGGAGGGGAAAGATACAGCATTACAATTCATACAGTAAGATGACAACATGGATAATGCATTCAATCAGTTTAGATGGGGCAATTAGATACAGTGTGCTGCCGGGGTAGGAAGCTTGACAAACAGTGACCAGAGCTACTGGTAGGCTGCGCTGTCCCAGGACACAAGTCCTGATGTCCCAGAGCTCTCCTTCTACCTGAACCAAAGGAATCCAACACTAGGCCTGTGCCTCCTGCACATTCATATCCCACACTGAGTAACCATTGTAACGAGTTAGCCCAATGAAAAAAAAAATCACACAAGTGCCCACGTACTAAGAGGTCTTAAAAACAAGGGGTCTTAAATCCCTCAAATTACATTAATAACCTCTTACATGAAAAAGAAAAGAGTTTCATGTTAACAGGACCAAAAAAGGCCAAGATGGACAAAATCCATGAAGGCTGTCAGCTCTCCAAACTATCCCTCAAGCACACACACCTTCTCGAAGTATTTCAAACATTAAGATTTGACTGAATAACCTTCTTAGAGATACCTGTGCTCATCCAAATCAGAGTAATACAATCAACCAGAACAGTGAAAATAGCAAGAAAAACATTGCAAGTGAGCAAACTGCAGAAAGTAAAAAGCATGAAGCATCAGTTATTACAGGAGACAAGTACACATCACACCACTAAACTCATTATTAAAGAATATTTTTCTAGTAAGAACTTACAAATACTTGGAAGGAAGCAAAAAGGGTTTAAAGAAAGAAAGAACAAAGACTGAAGCCAGCAATAGGAAATTTGCCTAAATCTCTGTCCTAGGCAAACCTCTTGATATTTTTTGCAGATGTCTGCACAATTAAATTCTTACAAATCTAAATTCAGCTTGTTTAACATATAGCACTGCAATAATTATGGGGAAAGCAATCCATATGGGCACCTGAAATAGCAAAGCAATAAATTACAGTTGAGAAGATATCTGTATCTCTAAGATCTATTCTGGAATATATATATATATATGCATCTAAGCAGTAAGTTCTTTTTAATTTGGATCTACAGGAAGAATTCTTGTGGAGTATCATGCTCACCCCTCTCTCCCCACCACTACCATCCTCAGGAAACTTACATTTGTGAAGCAACCTTAGTGTTGGGTAGAAAATCCCTTCTCTTTGTCTGAAGAACAGCAACTCCCCATTCACAGTGAGGATTTCTATATGTTCATGGCTGCAAGATTAAAGAGAAAAAGTTATTCCAATAGCTACTTAAGTCTTTTACAGACAAAATGAAATATTTCACTTTGCAGAGTCTGGTCTATCTTGGCATCTGAGAATTAAGACAATCAATTAGCAAGAAAATTTAAAACTAAAAATATTAAATTTTGTATGACTTGTTTTTCAACACCTTCCTTCCCCTTTCAAAGTAGGAAAAAAGTATACAAACATTCGTCTGTTCACAAACTGCTTTTCTTCAGGGTTTTTTTAAATGCAATACACAGCATGGACAAGGATATCCTGAATCAGGAAAAAAACACTTCCCTCTATGTAAAAAAAACACAAAAAAAAAGAAAATAATCCAGATAACTCACAGAAGCCCGAAGACAGTAAAAAAAATGCTATTCAAAGGAGTTTGAGCTGCTATATCCATCACACTGAATGCTTCCCTTCAACAACAGGCTGATCCCTGGAGTGTCCCTGAGGATGCTGCACCTTTCCCAGCAGGCAGCATTTTTGTGTTCCTCAAGCACCCAGCAACACACCTTCAAGCATGTGATCACAGGCAAACTTTTAGGTCTGGGCATAATAGGGACTATTATCTGTAAGAAATTAAATGCTTTTCAAAAACACCAAGTTGATCTACTACACAAAATAAGCACATGAAGGAGGCAATCCTATCACTTTGGAAGAAAAAGGTAGGAAAAAATTAACTTACCATCTTACGATTTTGACTGGGTCTTTCTTTGGCATAATTTGGTTCAGCCATGGTTCAATAACAGGGAACTGGTCTATCAGCTGATTCTTAATACCTTTAATAACTGAAGTCTTCAGCTGGATGCAGTTTGATACATTCTCCTTTTCATCAAATCTATCAAGGAAGTGAAAGTATTTCAGAAATGCATGATTTGCTGCCCCAAAGATGTACTATCTCAGCAACATTCTTCAGAAATGTTTACAGATTCTCTATAACACTTTAGCAGTCCCACATCTGTCCAACCTTCAAATTTAGGATTTCCTGAGGTTTAAATGTATCCCCTGAAAACACTGGGCCAGGGAAGGGAAAGGGGGTTCCCACTGGTAGGCTGTCTTTGATCCTACACTTTGTTTACACCCATGAAAGATGCATGTGGTCCCAAAGATACACCCTGGACACGGCAGTCTGGCATTTTAAGCTCATATGACACCTATGGCCCTGTTCAGATGTATTTATAAAGAGCCCTTCACCTTTACCACGGACATATAAACGGCACTTTGTACCACCCCAAAGTTCAGACAAGGTAATGACTCAGCTTACATTTTAGCGCTTTTTTTGCTTGCAACAAGCAAGTGCCCAGCAGCCCAGCCCAGCCCAGCGCGCCCCAGGGCTCTGCCCGTGGGCTGGGGGGACCCTGCGCCCAGGCAGGCCCCAGCACCGCGGGGGACAGCGGGGTCGGC